AAAAAAAAAATTCCATCAAGGTCTCCACAATTTTTTTTTGAACCCTGTAGCCAATTTTGCTGCTAAATCTGAAATGGTTTTCAGGAAAAAACTTACCAGAATTTTCTGCACAGGCAGAGAATTTGATCTCACAATGTTTTTTAAAGCCTGGAGTAACATGGTCAGTATTTCTGAGCCTTGTTTCTCTTTCTTATTTCCTGAAATAAAGAATATTTCCAGTCACAGCAGAATGGTCACTCTGAGCATCATTTCAAATTTTAGTGCAAAACAAAAAAACAAACAAACAAAAAAAAAATCCTGTGTAAATTTGGAAAAATTTACCAAATATTTCAGAGATTCAGGTACCAATTCTGCTCAAAGTTTAAATAAAAACTTCCAAATTTAATTAGGAAATGAAAACACCTTTGTTTCATTAAAGATTTGATTTTTTTCAACATTAAAATTGTGGAATTTTGTATTCATCCAAAGAATGCTTCTTCATTTTCTGTTTGATTTTTTGATAGAAAAGTTTGAATTATTATGAATATTCTGGACTTTTCCTTGGATAAAAGGCATTTAAAAAAAAACAAAAAAACAACTTTTATACATCTGCAGACATTACAGTTTACTATGGAACAGAATTTCAATGAAGAAAAAAAAGGCACCAGAGTCAAAAACTTTTAATTTTTATCTCCATTCCTCAGTCCTAAAGAATTTTGGAGGGGTTGTTTTTTTTCTGAAATTGCTTTAAAATAAAACAGAATTATTCATTCAGATTAAACCCAAGCAATGAAGCATCAACAATTTATGGTGCAGTTTAAAACTAAACCACCTCTGCCTGGTGAGCAATGACAAATTGAAAAAAAAATGAGATTTTTTTACCTGCTTCAATTGCTGTTTTTACAAATCCATTCATGTCCTTCCAGATAACATTCAGCAAACAATCTGCAAGGTGACAACGTTTTTATTCAGTTTGCAATCAAAATAATCGACAAAAATGCAGCTAAAATATAAATTGTGTTCAAGGACAGGTTTGATTTCAGCCAAAATTTAAATTTCAACACAAGTCAGACCAACAAAGTGCTGCTTTCTTATGTTTTCCTTACCCACTTGATTTTCCAGAAAATATTTTAATTCCATCACTGAATTCTTACCAGGAACTTCTTTTCCAATTCCAACAAAGCCATCCTGAACAGCATTTATCAGAGTGCTGGCATGCTTACAAAAAAAAGAAGGGCTACTGATCAGTGGGTACTGGAGAGGCTCTAAAAGAACAAAAAAAAAAAACCACATTTCATCAACCTGTTACTTTGCATGTTATTGGGAAAATAAGCTTTAAAAAACAATCAACTATTTGTGTGTTCAAGGCATTTTTTTTTATATAAAAATATCTTTAAGATGACAACACTTAAAAGTTTAAATCGTTTGGTTCCAATGAGATAAAATTTGAGATGATGCAAATTTTAATTTTTATATTAATTAAATATGTATTTAAATAGATATATTTTTAAAACTCATATACCTAAGCTAAGCACGAGTTTGTTTTGCTTTGCAAAATCCACAACTTGTGGTCCCATGAGGAAATGGAGCAGCATTTCAATTCCCAGGAGTTGGATGGAAGGGAAGAGAACCACTCCTGCTGTGCTGCTGTTCAGGGCCATCCTGGGAGTTCCTGGGCTCACAAATGGAAAAGGACCTGAAGGAGGGATAAAAATCCACAATTCAATGCCTCACATTGCAGGGAAAATTCCTAAATTTCCCAAGGAAAGGATAAATCATAAATGTGAAAGGCATCTCTGACAGCCAGGTTTCTCAGGGAAGTGGGGTTTGCCATCACAGCTCTATTTTTTTTTAATTATTATTATTATTTTTTTTTAAATTCTGGGACACCAGATTTTATTTTAGCCACAGAAATCCCCATGGAAGCTGTGGTTCCACAATCACTAAAGTGCTGTTGTAAAAATCAGCTGCTACAAAAAAAAAAAAAAAAGTTTCCATTGGAAATTGTCACCTGGAACACAAATTTAGTCTTGGCAAAATATTTTAATATTTTCACCAATTCAGCTGTGATGTCACAGGACTAAGGTGAACTTTTTAAAAGAAAGGAATACAGGAAATTCCCCAAATTCAGGACATCCCTGAGGCTGTTAATTACAGAATTATATGAATAGAAGAAATTCTAGCAGAATAGAAATGCACAAGCTATGGATGCCAGGTTTCCAGAAAGGGAAGAAAAACCAGGAGTTCTTTATTGGATATTTAGATATAAAGGTTAAATAAATTTGATTTCACATGTGGTTAAAGTATTAAAATTCCTGATGGATTATCATCACTGGGCAGGGTTAGATGGGAATATTGGGAGGGAATTCCTGGCTTGGAGGCAGCTGGGACAGTGGGAGGTGTCCCTGGATGAGTTGTAAGGTCTTGGAACAAAGGAAACCATTCCAAGAATCTCCAGTGTTCAGGCAGAAATTAAAAATGCCACAGAAATAAAAGGGCAGGTATAAATAGCTCATGTGTTAATATATGAAAAACAAAGATTCCAAACCAGAGCTCCCTTGCAACAGAAAAAAAAAAAAAAACAATTCAGGATATTAAAACTAATCCTCAAACTGTGATTGGAACAACTTTTAAAACTTTAAATAATTACTTCAACAGCATCATTTCACCCCATATAAACCATGATTTCTGCAGTGACCATGCAGAAAAATCCCTGTTTCCAAGAATAAGAATTACAAATAAAAAAAAAAGCAGAAACATGACAAACAGGAGAGATGAGTGAAATGGAGCTGGAAATGTCATGTATTTCATGTACCTGATTTCTGCCCAGGGGTTGCAGAGCCCAGGTTGGGGTTGTTGGGACGTGAGGGGGTTCCTGGGAATGCAGCAGCAGGATCCACACTCAGGGTGCTCTGGATTAATGGGACACAAACCTGCAAAGGGATCCCAGCAACAGCTAAAGCCATAAAAAAAAAATCATTTCAAACATCACACTCTGGGTTGGTGTTCATAAATCTGAGTTTCTGGGTATTTATAATGAATTAGGGAAATACCTATACAAACAAAAATTCCTGTTGGATGCAATAGATTTTAATGAGCCTAAGAAAATCCTTTTCCCTCTTTTTACTCCCATTGAAGATTAATTTCATGAAATCCAGGTGTTGAATAGAAACAGGTCCATTCCATTTACAATGTGACTAGAAATGGAACACCTGCAGCATTTTTCTTTCTATCGTCCTAAATAATCATGGCCTTCTGCTCAGTTTTCCTATGGCAGCCTTTTCCAAGCCCAAGAACCTTTATTTAATTAATTAATCAAGACTGCACTAAGAGGAGATTTTCAGAGATGCTCACAGGACATTCCCACAGACTCTCCAATATTTTAGGGCTGCTGAGTCCCAAACATTCCTTTAAATCACACACGAGGACAAACTGGTTCCTTGAAGGAGTTTGATTTTCAATCCCAAAGCAGAAAGGGATGAAGCAAGAAAATTTATTTTCCAGAGCTCAGAGAGGCCTGGGCTGCACAGTGAGCAGGATTTTTGTTACCTGTTCAAAGTTGGAGGGCAGGTGAGGTCCCAGCCTCATCAGTAAATACCACCACACCTCGAGCTTGGTGAGTGCCAGAGCCTCTGTCCTCACATGGATGGAGCTCAGGGGCTGCATCAGCAGTTTCAGCCTTTTGGCACTGCACAGGATATCTGGGAAATCCAAAAAGTGCATTTTAATTGATAGAAATTATTAAATCACAGCTCAGCAACATTTGATTAAAACGTTGTGGGTTTTTTTTTTCCCCTCATCTATTTCAGCTTCAAATTAACAATAATTTGCAAAACTCAAACCATGTAAACCTTTCAAATTCTCTTAGTGCTTTAATTACTACCTAGAACAACTCTGAAAAAATCAAGTGTTTCTTTTCAATACCAAGATTAAAATTCAATTTTCTGAATTCCAACTTGACCCTGCTTGAGAAGGGAGGTTGGACCCAACCTGACCCATTTTGGGATTTTGTGATGAACAGAAGAAATTCCCTCTTACTTGGCTCTGTTATGTCCCATCTGCTCCAGGGAAAGGAAAAATCAAACACTGAGTTTTCTCTTCAGAACACAGAGCAGCACCATCAAGGTAAAAAAATATTCTATTTTGACACAGGGTAGACTAAAAAATTATCCAGATCTAGGTTATACCTTTAAAACAACTTTTTAAAACACCTCTGGAATCCTGAAGTGTTGCCTTTCTCTAGTTAAACCACACCATCCAAAATAAAAGATACAGAATGTTTTATTCTCTATTTTATTGCTGTTTGGATCAATTTTAGCACTACAAAACGAGATTTATTAATTTTATTCTATTTCTAGCACTCCCAGCAGAAAAGTTAGGATTGAACTATCACTTTGCCTCAAAAAGAAAACAAGAAAAAAAAAACAACAAAGAAACACAAAAATTTTAGTTTTAGCTGTGCACACACACAACGAATTTTTATGCAGCACCATGTGGATATCCACAATTCAATGACCACTAACAAAATATTTATTTCCAGTTATGTATTCAAGCAAACAAAACAAATCAGGTTCATTTTATTTTTTTTTTTTTTTCAAATCTACCTGGATTTAGGGCAAAATTATCAATGAGGCTCTTCCATGCAATGAAGGCAATTTTCTTCACCACTGGGGAGCCACTGCGAAATCCCAGCTCCTCCAGCTGCAGCAGGGAATTGATGAAGCTCCCACTTCGATGCAGAGTCTGAGCAGGAAAAAAATTGAGAATTAAAAAGACATTTCTGCTGTTTAAAAACTCCTTTTTTTTTTAAAAGATTTGTTGGTTTTTTGCTTACCTTTCCGAGCAATCTGACAAACAGGGGCCACAGTTTTAACACGAAAGTTTCGTTTTTTGCAGAAAATAATTTCTGAAGTTCGGAAATTAATTTCTGCAGACAGAAAAAAAAAAAAATAGAATTTCTACAAGAAATAGGTTTGAAATATTCTAAAAACTACACACTCACACCAATGTCTGAGGACACAGCTGATCTGTTTCTACATCAGAAAGATTTCATTCTGCACCACACAGCATTTGCTACCATCTGATTGTCTTTTTTTAGTTTCTAATTCTCTTTTTAATTAAAATTTATGGCTGTTGATCTGACAGTGGCAACCAACAAAGGAAAATCCATTTCTTCAAATATTTGCATTTCCTCTATCTCTGAAGTCAAAACACACCCTGACCCAAACCCTCACCTTGTTTGGTTGGGTTTTTGGGTTTTTGAGCAGAAAATAAGGCAAAATAAGTAAGACACCCTGACCCAAACCCCCACCTTGGTTGGTTGGGTTTTTGGGGTTTTCCAGTAGAAAATAAGGCAAAATAAGTAAGACAGCCCTGGAAGTGATGGGAACATGAAAAGCTTCATCAAAAACACCAAAGGGCTGCTGCTGCCCAGAATGAGGAACCCTAAAGGATGGAAAATGCTGAAAATCCTCTGCTTTTCTGCCTCCAAAATCTGTCTCCCATTCCCTTTTGTTGCTGGGCATTTTTTTTCCTATATTTCCATTTTTTTTTTTTCCCCATTAAAACCACATCAAGAAGTCGCTGTCAATGCACAGGAAATGAAATTTATGTGTCCCCCCCTCACCCATCTCTCACCCTAACACCCCCAAATTGGTGTTGGTGACCAAAAGTTGTCACTGTCACTCACTGTGGTCATCAGGTGCTCGGTGACAGCTGCCACCTCCTGCTGCTTCTGCAGGAGCAGTGGCATCCCCATCTCCAGGGCAGTGGCACCTCTTAACTGCACTTTGTGAGCTGAGTGGACAACCAGAGGGATGATCAGCTTTGCCCACCTCACAGCCTCTTCTCCCATCTGGGTTGGAGTTTGCTCCATTAAGCTGGATTTAAAAAAAAAAAAACAAAAAAAAAATCAAAAAAATCGGGTTTTGTAGTGGTTTTGATTTGTTTAATTAATACATTAACCAATAAATCTCAAATGATGTGGTGGGTTAAATAGTTAGTGTACTTATTGGAATTATTTAGGGTTTTTTTTTTTTTTTGGTTGTGAGATAGGATTAGAAGGTGAACTAGGTTTAAATTTCAAAGGGTATAAAGAAAATGTTTGTTAATAGAAATTTAAAGAAAAAATAAGGAGAATAAAATTTTTAGAATACTTTTCCCCCTCCCTACACTTTAATGATAATGGATAGAAACAAATTAATTTATTATTTTTTAAAATAGTCTTTACAGATCTCCAACACACAGCTCAGGCACTCAAATTATCTTTGTATCATCAATAAATGCTCTGATTTAATCCATGATTTATAGAAAACAATTCCAATTTTTTTTTTTTTTAACCAATTGTATTAAAACTGCAAAGTTCAAGTGTTATTTCAGATAAACCTCAGAGCTTTTTGATCACAATAATTCAATTTTATCACCAAGCAGCTGAGAGCCTGACAGGAATGCACAATGCCCAAGGAAAATCTGGCCATGACCCATCCCTGGGAATTCCCAAGCAGCTCCCACACATTGGGAACAAATCCCAGCAGATTTTGGAAAAATCCCAGGTTTTCCACAGATTTCATGAACTCTGGTCTGCTCAGAGCTCTGATTTTTATCTTCTTATTCCAAAAAAACCACACCAGGATCAAATTCCACACATTTCCACCATCCCAGCACCAAACAAGGTGCAGAAATGGGAATATCTGGCACATATTCAATTAACTTGTATCTAGAAATCCTGGAATTTTATCCAGTTCCCCTTTTCCCCAGGAAAGTCAAATCCTCTCTCTACACTTGATGGAGAATTTGCTGCACTAAATAAAAATTTTGCCTCTCAAGTCATTTTATTTAAGGCAGGGAACAAGAACTGCTTAAAATAACTATTTCAAATGGATTTGCAGTTCAAAGCAGATGGCAAAAGTTTAAGAGAAAACTTTAAGATATAAGCTCAGTGTAATTACTAATAAAGAAATAAAATTAACACTAAGTAAAGAGAAAATTTGAATATTTTAGTTCTGCTGACCACAACAATGCACTCAACAGTGATGGTCCTAAAAAGTCACCTTTGCAATTAAACAGGAATTTCAACTGTTATAGGAAACATTGCACTAAAATGTTGTTGCCAAGGAGGTATTTTAAATAAACCCCCAAATAATGACAGAGAATTTCTAAAGCAGGCAGGTTCTGGGAAAAAAAAAAAAAATAAAAAAGTGAGAACATAACCTGGGGAACACAAGTGAGAGGTGAGAAATAATTCCTAAAAAAGCCATTAAAAATGAAAGCAATGTTGTTTAAGTTCTGCATCAGAATGATTATATATTAAGGTAATAATTTTTAATTAGAAGACACAAAGGAAGTGGTGAACAGTGCAGCTGCTCCCCCCCACTGCCCAGCAGCTCCTCAGTTCACAATTCCATGGGATATCCCCTGGTCAGTTGGGATCTGTGTCCCCTCCTGTGTCCCCAAATCCTTGATTTAGAGCACAGCAATTAAATTAATGAAATTAATTAAAACACACCCCCGCTGTTTCCAACATCATTTCCATCCCAAAACCAACCCACAGCACTCAGCAATCACCTCCAGCCCAGCCAAAACAATCCTTTACATAACCAACAACTCGAGGGAAAATTAAAGTTTTTTTTTTTTCTTTAGTACATTTAGTGCCAAAAAGGTTTTGTAGGAAGAGTTTCCCCCCCTCAAATCAAGGCTGACGATTGAATATTGCAGAGTTCTCACCGTATAATGACATTAAGTGCCTCATATTCAACCACAACAGACTGAATTTCTCCTTTAGTCAGGATTGTTTCCAGGGTGGAGAGAATATTGGACACCTGAGGAAAGAACAGAACAATTCAGTGAACACTTAAATACAAATTCCATGAGGAGCTGGAATTATTTTCTTTTGGTATTTCCTTCACATTTCACTTTCCAAGATTGTGTTTGGATTATTGTTCTAAATTGGAATATTCATAACCTTTCTCCCCTGTGATATTTTATTGTTTTCTGATAGAACTGTTCACATTGCAGCTTTCCCCTCAAGGAAAACCATAATTTCTTGGTTTTTCCAAGAATTGATACTTGGCTGGCAGATTTGATGGGAAACAACCTTTGGGTTAAAAAAAACCAAACTAAGTGACAAAGAATTTGCCTCTTCTCCATAGGAAAGAACAGCAGCAAAATGAAAAAATGGAGAAACTCAAAGATAACTTCTGAAGCCTCTTCTCTGTGAGAAAAGAGCAAAAGAAAGGAAAGCCAGAATTTCTTGGCTTTTCCAAGAATTTATAGGAAACAACCTTTAGGTTAATAAAAAAAACAACTGAGTGACAAAGAATTTGCCTCTTCTCCACAGGAAAGAACAGCAGCAAAATGAAAAAATGGAGAAACTCAAAGATAACTTCTGAAGCCTCTTCTCTGTGAGAAAAGAGCAAAAGAAAGGAAAGCCAGAATTTCTTGGCTTTTCCAAGAATTGATGGCAAATAACCTTTGGGTTAAAAAAACCAAACTAAGTGACAAAGAATTTGACTCCTCTCCATAGGAAAGAATGGCAGCAAAATGAAAAAATGGAGAAACTCATCTTCTTAACAAGTTCTGAAGCCTCTTCTCTGTGAGAAAAGAGGTCACCAAAAGCGAAGTGAAGAACCTCACCTCTTTTTTAACAACCTCTGGAGGAAAAGCTTGCTTAGAGATGACCCAAAGTGCCCGAGTGCGAGTGTTTTTATCTGAGCATTTCACAGCCACGCTGTTCACTGCTGCCAGCAGCTCCTGGCTCTCAGTGCCTGCAAGGAGAACACACAAAAACCTTCACCATCCATCCTGTTCCACACATTTCCAGCTCCTTCTGATCGTTTCACTTTGCCCAGCATCCATTCAGCTGGAATTTTCTGTGATTTATTGCTTTGGAGAAGTTTTTTTTTCTCTTATTAAAGTAGACAAAAAATTGAAAATGTATTAATATATATAAATATAATGCAGTGCATCTGTGTTACTTATAAGAATCCATAAGACTAAAAACAGCTTTAAATACACCTGACCTAAAGATTAAGTATTTAATTATTCAAAACTTCTTTAAGTGAATGTAGCAGCACTTTGGTCACAAAATGACAAATTTATTTGAAAGCATACAAGAGGTTTTGTTAGTAAAGGTGGTAAAATTGTAGCTCATTACATAAAAATTAATAAGGTTAATATAGGGCTTTTCTCCATCTGTGTTCTTAGTTGGATCTATGTGTTCTTTTAAAATTCTAGGGTAAAAAGTCTGATTTATTGCAATTTTGCACTTTGTGGGTGAGTGATCTCCCAGTGAGAGAAATGGAAGGACATTTCCACTCCTGTCCCCAAACACAGGCAGACCCAAAGGTACAGGAGCTGCTTGTGCTCCCTCCCTTTTTAACTCCCCATTGTTCTCAGGGCTCTGTGATTCCTGGAGCTTGACATTCTGTAACGAAATTGTCATTAATCAACAGGATAGAAAAATCAGTTCTGAGAGGGAAGAAAGATATAATAATAGACATTATTAGAAATGCCTCATTCTCACAGGAAATCAAGGGAAATTTTGCATAATAGGAAAGCAGGAGACACTGAAAAAAAATTGAGAAGAGCCAAAAGAACCAATTGCAACCAATTTCCCCTCCCCTGTTACCAAAAACCTGTGGTTTCACCTTGAGGAAAGTTCTCTAATTCTCAAGTTCTCAAACCCAAAACCTTTTGTGAAAGGGATTTAGCACTTTCTAGGAATGCAGGTCATAAGATTTTGGATTACTTAAGATTAATTTGAAATATTTGGGGCTGGACTAGATGACCTTTAATGGTCTCTTCCAACTCAAACCACTCCATGATTTGATGGAACAAAGAAATCTCCAAGTAAAAGCTGGAAAATGTGGAAAAGCTTTACTGTGCACCTCCAAATCCTACAAATAGGTTCTCCACTCTTTTCCACAATAATATCTTTTTTGATCACTAATTCCACACAATTAATTACTACCAAAGCATTTCATGAAACTTGAAGTCAATAAAACAGAATTAGTGCAACAGCACGAAAAATTATCACCATACTTGTGCACAAGATGTAATTAATGAACTGATCACACTGCTCATATTACAGACAAAACCTGATCAAAATTAAAATAAATGCTAAGAAAAACATCAAGAGCTCTGATGCATACATTTATACTCACAGTTTGTTTGCTTACCAGATAATTCAGCTGTGTTACTTGAATTAAAAGTGCAGAATCCCAAGGCCTGCAATGCTGCATTACTGAGCTCCAAGTTTGGACTGGAAATGTGTGCCTGGAAAAAAAAAAAACCAAAAAACCAAAAAAACCCAAATCCACAGAATTAGAAAAGTAACTGAGAAATACTGAGTTTATGGTCTAAATAGCAACACTTTTGGGAAGCTGTCAAAAGCAAACACTTGGTGAAAAATCCACCCAAGTGGGAAACTCTCCCTGGGTTCTGTTCACATCAAATCAATAAAATAATCTGAGGTGCTGAAGGCATTTTGGCTCTCTGTAATTAAAACATCTTTAATGAAATAAATCCCACACATCCCAAGTTTTGCACTTTGGCTGTGTATGTTATGTTCTCTCACTTGACTCTCCAATTGTTTTGAAGCTTCTAAAACAGAAGGAAAAAAAGGCTAAGAACAACCTTTACATTTAATCTTTAAAAACCCCTGACATTTAGGGCATATTCTGAATTCTGAAATGTTTCTAAGGCAGCCACAACACACTAATGGCTGCAAGATGAAATCTGACTGTGGGATGCTGCCTGAACACATCCAAGACCCAGCATTTTGATTTTTTTCTGCAGTAATTCCTCACCACAAGAGAGATCTATTTTGCCAAAAACCCCTTCCTGCTCTGTCACCACCCTGCATTCCTACTAAAGGTTGGATTCCACGATCTCAGAGGTCTTTTCCAACCTTAATGATTCTGGGACTCTATAAATGAACTTAAATGTGAATCTTTCAAAAATAAATTTTTATTCATTGAATTGTAAGAGAACTGAATGGAAAAAACCTTACCTTGAACACTTTGCAGAGTTGAGGGAAGTGTTTCCTGACATCTGCAATGAACGCTTTGCCTCCTTCACCAGTGAATCGACTGCAAGGAGCAGGAGGGAAAAGAAACAATATTTACAAGGTTAAACACATTGTAACTGACTTAACTTTCGATTTTTAACACACACCAGTGGATTTTCTCGAAGGAAACTGACACAACACAGAAGAGATAAAAGAGCAAAAAATGCCACCAGGTCTGACCCAGCAGCAAAATCCTGTGTTATGGTACAAAGCGAGTATAAAACATTTGTAAAAACATTAAGGGCTTTCATTTCTTGGTCAGCTCCTCTAAAAACATGAAAATTTAGCATTCAAACTTTAAATGACTTGCTGCAAGATAGGAAAACAGAAATACAGGAGCTGAAAAAGCAGTTTCCTCATAAGCAGCTCCAAAATGCAGGAAAATCCTGGCTGGACAAGCAGCAAGGATGACTTTGCACATAAGTGAGGAGCATCCTTGCAGGAAAGCAAGGAAAGTAATTGTCCCATAAAATGTTAATCATCAGTTTCTCACTGCAAAACCCAAACGGAGCTAAGCTCAGTCATCCAGACACAACCTGAGAAACCTGTTGCTGCTCCATACTTACGTGAGGACGTTTGTTTTGCTGTTAGTTTTTTCTAAAAACCTGTAAAATCTGAGTAGCTACAGTTTTATAAGTCACTGCAGAACTGAAGGGAGACACAGAGAGAGAGATCGTGCCTTTGCACGTGAAAAAAGGGGAAAAATGCACGTAAAGAAAAGCACAACCTCGTGGGGAAGAAGCACCTTCCAGAAAGAAACGCAATTAAAACACGGCAAGATCGCTCCAAAACCCGAGCAAAAACTTCACCCTTCCAATCACAAAGCTGCAACGCTTCGTCATTAGAAGTTATTATTTCCCAAGTTTCTTCACCCACCTCTGATGATTCCCCAAGAGGGCAGGGAGGCTCTGGGATGCGCAGACCTTGGGAAGACGCGCTCCTCTTCCTCCCTCCCTCCTCTTCCTCTCCTTCCTTCTCTGACTCCTCCTTCCCTTCCCTCCCCCAGCCCCGCATGTCCCCTACGGCCACGCCGTCCCCAGCATTGCCTCCCTTCTCCCAGCCAGGCTCCGATCGCCCATTCCCGGCCCGAGCCCTCAGGCCGCCCCGCTCCCCTCCGCCAGCGTGCGCGTCCCCCCCGCGCTCACCTGACGATGGTGAGGTGCGCGTCCGTCAGGTCTCCCGGCGGCGCCGCGGGGTCCTCCAAGGTGCGGAGCAGCGGGGCGAGGCTGGAGCCGGCGGCAGGATCGAGCTCGGCAGCGGCGGGATCGGGATCGGGGCCGGGAGCGCTCATGGCGGCGCCGCCGCCGCCTCCCCCCAGCGCGGCCGCCCCTCAGCCCCGCACGCCTCCCGCGCTAAGATGGCGGCGCGCGCGGGCCCGGCGGCGCGCGGGCCTCGGCCAATGGGAGCGCGGCGCGGAGATTCCCGCGCCCCCGCGGAGGCCCCGCCCCTCGACGTTGATTGGTGGAGGAGCGGCGGGAAGGGCGGGGCAGCGCAGAGGGGGCGGGGCCGGGGCCGGCGCTGAGGGTGCTGTGGGCGCTGGGTCCGAGCCGGCCCGCAAATCCCGGGGTCAGGGAATAGCGGCGGAAAAGGAAGGATTATCCATGTCCGGATCCTGGCCCTGCCCAACCATCCCTCCCTGTGACCCCCTGAGAGCGCTGTCCCATCTTTCCTGGAGCTCCGGCAGCTCTGAGGCCGTGGCGAGCCTGGTCAGTGCCAGACCACCCTCTGCTGGAAGAACCTTTCCCTCATTTCCGACCTCAACATGGCCTGACACAGCTCCAGGCCTTCCCTGGCTCCCAGACAGCAGCGATCGCAGCTGCCCTTCAGGAGGAAGCTCACATGAGGTCACATCCCTAATTAATGACTGGAAATGAGCCTCCAGCTCCATACGAACAAGGAATTCCATAGGAACAAGGAATTCCGTAGGAACAGGGGTTCCATAGGAACAGGGATTCCATAGGGATTCCCCGAGCCCTCAGTATGGGATGTCCCAGCAGCGGTGAAATTGGAAATCCCGACCCTGGCAGCAAATCCAAAAGGTTGGAAAACCTTTTAGATGGAGCCAGGCCATGGCTGAGTTTTTCTCTGTCACCTCCAGGGCTTCCCTGTGCCAGCAGGAATTCCTGTCCTGGGGAGGATATTTTCCCAAAAAAAATATCCCATAGGGACTCCCAAGTATTCCCTGGTTCTCATCCATATCAATCCATGATCTGCCGCTTCCCAGTTAAGGAAACAACAACAAAACCCCGCCCCGAGGTGATAAATAAAATATTAACATTCCCCTCATGCTTTTCCTTATTCTCTTCCTTCCTTATTCTCTTCCTTCCTTATTCTCTTCAAGCGCTGTTGGTGATCTTGGAAAAAAAAAATGGGAATGTTGTTGTACAACGGGCACTGCGAACACAAGGTGGCAGGATTAAAAAGCGCATTTTAGGCACTGTTACATCCCATAAATGTGGTGATATAAAATTTGTTTTGTCGAGTATAAATAAAGTGTTGGAAATAACCAGGAGATGAGCTGCTTGTTCTCCAAGACAGCCAGAAACCAGGATTGTATTCCCAGTGAAATTACAATAAAAGCTCAGAAATGAAATAAATTTAAACAATGGGAGAATTAGAAGAAATAAAGCAAAAATGGGGCTGATTACACGTGTGCAAAACCATTCATGATGAGGAGTACAAATACTCCAAACAAAATTATATTCACAGGAGAAATTCTTAGTGGGCTTTAGAGTTCAGCAGATCTCAAGAAAACACTCAGAAACAAACTTGAAACTTCTTTACTCCTTTAAATAAACACAATATGTCAAAGTCTGCAACGAGAAACAAAAAGAAATCACTGCAAGCTCGGTGTGATTAGAACAGAGGTAGCTTTAATGCTGCTTCAGGTAAAAACAAATGCTGAAGGATTTCAGTTCCTTCTTAATTTAATTTTCAGCAATTTAAGCCAAAAGGGTTTTTTTAAACCCGTGTAAACAACGCCCAACACCTCCGTGGTGTTGGTGAGAAGTTCCTCCTGCTGCTGCTTCATCACTTTTATTCTCATTACAAAGTCATTCCTTGAATTTTTTACTCAGTGAAAGGATTTCAACAGCCCTTTGGATGAGGAAAAACTGAATCCATCTGATTCCTGATCGATCTGATAATAAAATTAAAGTGTGGATCCAACTTTTGATCCTCTGCTGCTTCCCAATCCTCACCTGCCTGGCTGCCAGGCCATCCACAAGATGCATTTTTGTGTCTTAAAAATAAGCTTACACTGAAGGCCCTTAAGAGTTCAAATAACAAAATAATGTTAAATATTATTTCAGAAAATAACAATAATGTGTAGAGAACAGGGTGGGGGAAAGCAACAATCTAAAAAATAAATATGTGGAAATCAAGGGAAATAAGGAGAGAAGAGAGAAGGTTAAAAATGGTCCTAACAGTCACACAAAAATTTGTTCAAGTGGTGCAAGAAATGAGGAGAAGGAGCAGTTTATATAGAAAAATAATTTTTAAGTCTTTGGTAGCAATGAATCCTTCAGATTTTTACAGTACTTACATTCTAAAAGCAGTTTTCTGTGACCCACCTAAGCATATTTTATAATTTATTCCCTAGTGTCGTTTATTAACAACATGGAAAAGCCAAAGAGGAGAAACTCCCATGGAAGAAATCTCTTGTGAGTTCGGTGGAAAACTTCTGTGCTCACATAATGCCGAATTTTCCAGGTAAAAAGTTGTTTTTCCCTGGGGATGTGGCATTGCTGCCCGTGGCAGTGTCCAGGGTGGTGTATCTGATCTGGAAGCCTCCTGCTGTCACCGAGGCGTCCGACAGGAATTTCAGTGTCATCACATTCCCTGTGCCAGGAAAAGGGACTGGGGTTAATGCCACAAAATGGGAAATTTCACACATTTTAGATTATTAATTTGTTTTTTTCAGATGTATTTTTTATATCTGATCTGAAACCCTCCTGCTGTCACCGAGGCGTCCGACAGGAATTTCAGTGTCATCACATTGCCTGTGCCAGGAAAGGGGGAATGGGTTAATGCCACAAAATGGGAAATTTCAAACATTTTGGATTCTTAATTTTTTTTTTCAGATGTATTTTTGGGGGTTTTAAGGTTTTTTTTCAGGTGTATTTTCCTGAGTTTTAAGGTTTTTTTCCAGATACATTTTTTGGAGGTTGAATTTTTTTTTTTCAGGGAACACTTCCCTCTAATTAGGCTGATTTACATTTGTTTAGAAGTCATTAATTGGCTTTTTGATTTCCCACGAAGAGTGCAAATAAATTACCTGTGCTAATGATGTCATCTGGCAACTCATCTCCACAAAACCTGGAAAAAATGGAGTTGTGGTGATGAAAAGAAATGGGAATTATGGCACAGCCCTGCTCCATGGAGCTATATTATATATTGTATTCTGTATTCTGTATTCTGTATTCTGTATTCTGTATTCTATATTCTATATCATATATGATATGATATGATATGATATATATGATATGCATTATACATAGTATATTATACATTATGTATTATATTATATATTGTAAAATAATATATTCTATATTCTATATTCTGTATTCTATATTCTAATAAATAGATTATGTTATGTATTATATATTATTCTATATTCTATATTCTATATTCTATGATATGATTATTATAATATAGAATATAGAATAATATATAATACATAACTTAAGCTAATTATAATATTATATATATTTATGTATTTGTAACATTAATATATAATATAAAATTATGTTACATATTATAATAAATATATAATATTATATATTATAGATTATAGATTATAATAAATGTATTATAGTCTATATTCTATATTCTATGATATGATTATGATATATTATATATTATATATAATATATAATATATCATATATAATACATAATATATCATGTATAATGTATAATATATAATGTATAATATATAATTGTATATGTTATAATAAATATATATTCTATTATATATTATATAATACATGTATTATATTCTATATTCTATATTCTATATTCTATATTCTATATTCTATATTCTATATTCTATATTCTATATTCTATATTTTATGATTATGATTATGATATATATTATCTATATTATATATTATATTCCATATCGCATATCCCATATCAAATATTACATATCACATGGTGCATGGTATTTGATATTTGGTATCTATTATGATTTCTTTTTTATCTCTCCCATTTTCCATCTTACATTTGACGCTCCATGCCATGTATCAATCAACATTCCCGTCTATCCTTCCAGTCACCATTCTCCCGGCGGGGCGGGGTGACAGTTGCCCTGTGGCTGTGTGCCTGCCCTTCCCCGTACCTGCCCACAAAGCCGTTGATGTCGTCGTAGCTGTCGTAGACCTCCAGGAAATCGGCCAGGCACGCCGTGTCCTCCTCCACATCGAACTCCAGGAACTGCAGCCGGATCCTGTGGCCGTACCTCACCCGGATGTGCCAGTAACAAATCTGCTCGTTCTCGTACTCGTTGGGGTACCCCGGAGACTTGAACACGTGCTTGGAGTCTGTGAACACCCCGCCACACTCCTTCCCTGCAAACAGACACCAACCAGCAGAGTTCTCATTTTATTGTCATTGAATCAGGCACCTTCACCTGGCGGTCTGGAGGGAATCCCACAGCAACACAAATGTGGGGAATGAATTCCCAAACACAGTTTTTTTTATCTACAACGTGTCCACCCAGTTGATTACAGTTGTTTTGTGTTAACGTGTGTCTACTTAGTCTACTATAATTGTTATGTTTGTATTGACTGTTTGTTGTTAATGTTGTAGATCTTTGTAAATTGTTAATATTCCTGGTTATCCCTTACCCTGTCCCATTAGTTGACCATCATTGTTGATGTTTGACTATTTGTTGTTAATGTTCTATGTCTTTGTAAATTGTTAATACTCCTGGTTGTTGTTTTTAATGTTGTGTGTCTTTGTAAATTGTTAATACTCCTGGTTGTCCCTTACCCTGTCCCAGTAGTTGACCATAATTTTTGATGTTTTTGTTAACTATTTGTTGTTAATGTTGTCTTTGTAAATTGTTCATATTCCTGGGTGTTGTTATTGTTGTAAATTGTTAACATTCCTGGTTTTCTGTCCCTTGCCCTGTCCCAGCACTCTCTCACACCGATGTCCACCTCCATTAACCCTCCCAGAATGGCCCCAGCAAACAGGAGAACAGCAAGTGCTCATGGGACACAACTTGGTAACAAAACCCCCTAAAAACAACGAGCAAATATAACATCTGAGACTAAAAATGGTACTGCCAGGTAGGGAACAGAGTAGAAAACAGGAAACCACCAACCAGGGGATTTTTTTTGCCTTATCACCATGACCCAACAGCACCCAGTCAACAGGACACTCTGAGACAAAGAGCCAGCCAATATTTTCTGAGGATTCCTATGAGGATGGAAGCCCCAGCTCTGCTGAGAGACAAAGCTGTGCATTATTTCCTCCTCCTCCTCCTCCTCCTCCTCCTCCTCCTTGACAGTCGTTCCCAGCTTTTGGAAGGAGATATTTAGGAAGCAAGAGGTGTCATCCAAACCTCAGTGAGTTCACAGGAAAAGAAATTCACAGGAAAATTCACTTTCATTGTCTTCAGTGGGTTTGAGGTCAGAGCTGTGCTTTGTGTGAAAGGCAGTTGGGATTTCTGCCTCTCTCAAGCTTTACAGCTGTGCTTGCAAGTCACACTGACACTCAGGTTCATCCTTTCTTCTTCAAAAACCTCTTGCAAGCGTGTTTTTACAAAAACCAGCTGGTGATCACATACCTGGGGTTGTACTCCTGCTGTTCCTGCTGCTTTGTGTTCCCTTGGGGATAAAAACACTCCTGGTTTGATCCAGGGGCCATTTGGACATTGAAAGTTCCCTGAGATTGGAGCTGGGCTGACCAAACTGGGAATTCCTGCCTGAATGCAGGATTTCTCCCAGTTTAGAGAGCTGGGAATGTTCACTTGGAGAAGCTCCAGGAATACCTTGGAGCCCTTTCCAGGGCCTGAAGGGGCTCCAGGAGAGCTGGAGAGGGATTTGGGGGACAAGGGATGGAAGGACAGGACACAGGGAATGGCTTCCACTGCCAGAATATTGGGAATTGGGAATTCCTGGCTGGGCTGGAATTCCCAGAGAAGCTGTGGCTGTCTCTGGATCCCTGGAAGTGTCCAAGGCCAGGCTGGAGCAGCCTGGGATGGTGGCAGTGTCCCTGCCATGGCAAGGGTGGCACTGGATGGGCTTTTAGATCCCTTCCAACCCAACCCAGTCCACAATTCCATCATTCCACAATCACTGCTGGGTGGGATGAACACTTCAAACACCCAAAGAGTTCCACGAGTTCCTCTTGCCATTTTTGTCCTCCTGCAGCAGAGCACGGGCTCAGCTCTCTCTGAGATTTGTCTCTGTTCACCAAGGCTGCTCCTGTCCCACCTGCACACAGCCCTGCCAGGCTGCACAGACCATGAGCACAAATCCCCTCGGTGCTGGACACTCCTGGCTGTGCAGTTCTGGTAATTCAGAGCATGAACACAAATCCCCTCGGTGCTGGACACTCCTGTCTCTGCAGTTCTGGTAATTCAGAGCATGAGCACAAATCCCTTCATTGCTGAACACTCCTGGCTGTGCAGTTCTGGTAATTCAGACCATGAACACAAATCCCCTCGGTGCTGGACACTCCTGGCTGTGCAGTTTTGGCAATTCAGACCATGAACACAAATCCCNACACTCCTGGCTGTGCAGTTTTGGCAATTCAGACCATGAACACAAATCCCCTCGGTGCTGGACACTCCTGGCTGTGCAGTTCTGGTAATTCAGAGCATGAACACAAATCCCTTCAGTGCTGAACACTCCCGTCTCTGCAGTTTTGGCAGCTCTGATTTCCTTTTTCCTTTTTTGCTCTGGCCAAACTGGACAGCAACTCCCCAAGGCTCAGAGGAGAGGCTGACAAAGGACATGGTCCCATGCAGAAATTCCAAGAGCAGGAATCTCTCTGCAGCTCCCTTTGTGTGCAGAACATCTGGGAACAGCCCCCACCCCACGGAGTTATTTGATGAACATAAACAAACCCCAGCCCTGGGAGCACAAACAAAATGTGCACAGCTGTGCAGACGTCATGGCCCAGGCTGAGTCTGGCTCAGAGAGAGAAAAGAATACAGGGATTCTTTAAAAGCCTTTCAAGAAATTAAAGAATTAAAGCCTTTCGAGAAATTAAAATATATTAAGCCATGCAGACGTGAAGAAGTGTAAGTTTTAGTGTTAACTAAGTAGGAATAAACTTGAAGTGCCTTAAGAGACTAAAAAGCCCTAAAACCTAGTTTAAAGTTCAGTAATTTAGCTCCAGACATAATGAAAACATAGCAGACCATTGCTGGCATTTCTAGATAAAACAGAACCATTTACATGAATAAATTAAATTATTGGTGTAAATTATGTGTGAAGACTGACACTACTTCAGTACTTTAGAATTGAGCTCTGGTAGGTGGAGGAAGAATGTTTTAGAGTCGTGTTTTTAGCTGATTGGATGATTTATTAATAAAATCCCCCTGTATTAGAGTAAGAAAAAAAAGAAGAAAGAAAAAGAAGAAAAAAGAGAAATATTGAAAGAAAAGGTGGGAGAGCTGCTCCTTCTGCTCAGGGCTCCATGCCAGAAAGTTTTTAGTTTTTAGCTTTTAGCACAGACTTTAATACTCTGAACTCTTTGCCTTTGAGGCTGATGGATTCCTGCAATAAATAACTTTACAACTGCTCTTGTCTCTTTGAAGACCCAGACCCATGAAAATCTCGACAGGGACGTGTCTCTGCTGAGGTTCCTGTCAGTGGTGTTGGAGCTCTGATCTGCTCTGAAAATTCACTTTCCCTCATTTAATTACACACAAAGCACTGCTGGGAGCTGGGGGGAGTTTTACAGAATCACAGAATTACAGGATGGAAAGGGACATTAAAACTCATCCCTTGCCATAGGCAGGGACATTTTCCACTGTCCCAGGCTGCTCCAAGCCCCATCCAGCCTGGCTTTGGACACTCCCAGGGATCCATCCAGCTTCCTGCCCATCCTCACAGGGAGCAGTTCCTCCTTAGCACAAGCTCCTAAAAATGCCAGTCCCAGCCAGGGCATTGATTTTCAGAGCTGTTCTATGTTAGGCACAGAATCAGAAGGGTTAACACAAAATTTAACCTGTTACAGGCAGAATAGCTCAGATTATACTCTTGATTTTATTCAGATAAATGGTGGGCTAAATGCAGAAGTGGACAAAAGAGGATAAAAGAGGAGAAAAGAGGAGAAAAGAGGAGAAAAGAGAGCAGCCCCCGTGGTTGTGCTCACCGTTGGGGTTGTAGCAGTAGGCGTCCCACCTCTCGCTCCTGTTGAGGCGAATTCCATAATCAACAATTCCAGTCTTGCCAAAGCCACAGTTGGCTCCAGCTTTTACTATGGGATAACCAACCCTGCCCTTTGCCATCCAGCCAGCAGCACACACGTGGAAACCTGCAGCAGAGGGAAAATGAGACGTGGATCTGATCAATCCTGAGCTTCTCTTATGTCACAAAGTCTGGCTCAAGCTGGTGGCTCGACGTGTAAGTGGCCTGATAGAAACTGAGCTATACAGGAGAACAGGAGGTTGAGAAGCTAATTTTAAATACAGAGGAGAAAAGTGAATTGTGTTCTCCACAGTGTGATTCATCTGAAACACCAAATCAAATGCAGATGGACAGCACAGCTCTCTGGGCAGTCAGTTTGAAGTGCTCTACCAGCACTTGTAATCAAATTATCCAGTGGATGAGTTTTCCAAGGGTGTTCTCTGCTTCCCTTTTGAAGCCACACAAATTTACTCAATCCCATCTCAAGAGTTTTCAGCATTAAGTTCTAAAAATACATAAAATACTACAGACAGCTAAAATCCTCAAGTATTTGCTTAAAACACTTTCAATTTAAATACCTGAAATGCCTCAAGGATTTGTTGCCAAACAAAAAGATCCCGTTAATGCATTTTGTGGCTGAGAACTTAGCACCAGCAGCCAAAAAATGCAATGTTGCTCACCCTCTGGTAGAGACCCATCCAATGTTTTCATGGAGAGGAACTGGAGCATATTTGTGGCATCTTAGATGCTCAGAAGAAGCAAAAAAATGCCCTTTTCACATGTGCTGGTGCTGGCAGCCAGCTTCTGACTCAACACAGAGTGAAAAAATGTCTGGAGTGGGGGAATATTTTCCATTGTTTTCCCAGTGCTCTGAATGAGTGAAGAACTTTTTGGGAATCAGCTGGAAATACAGGGGACCCCTCAGTTTTCACTCTGAGAGCAGCACTCAGTGTCTCGATGGAAACAAAAGATGCTGAGTGGTTGGAGTGAGTCCAGAGGAGGTCAGGGAGATGCTCCAGGGCTGGAGCCCCTCTGGAGCCAGGCTGGGAGAGCTGGGAATGTTCCCCTGGAGAAGGGAAGGATCCAGGGAGAGCTGGGAATGTTCCCCTGGAGAAGGGAAGGATCCAGGGAGAGCTGGGAATGTTCCCCTGGAGAAGGGAAGGATCCAGGGAGAGCTGGGAATGTTCCCCTGGAGAAGGGAAGGATCCAGGGAGAGCTGGGAATGTTCCCCTGGAGAAGGGAAGGATCCAGGGAGAGCTGGGAATGTTCCCCTGGAGAAGGGAAGGATCCAGGGAGAGCTTCCAGCACATTCCAGGGCCTGAAGGGGCTCCAGGAGAGCTGGAGAGGGACTGGGGACAAGGGATGGAGGGACAGGACACAGGGAATGGCTCCCAGTGCCAGAGGGCAGGGACGGATGGGATATTGGGAATTGGGAATTCCCTGTCAGGGACACCCTGACACTCATCAAGCTCAGTCACCAAACAGGACAAAAATCCAATTTACAAATCTCCGAGCCCCAGAACTCACAACAGATACAACAACACAGCACTGCCCACCCTCTGCGGGAGCCCCGCGAGTGCCCTGGATTTTTCCAGACCTATTTTCCGGGCTGCCTCCAGCTGCTGGTAGGTGGCCAGGTGTCCTCCCTCGTACTCGCACACAGCCTTGGCCTCGGCGTAGGTGAGCCGGTACTTGCCCGAGCGCGCCTCGCGGTGGTACACGCCTGCCGCTCGCTCTGCGGGGACAAACGGCGACAAACGGCGACAAAGAGCATCAGGGAACAGCTCCCACATGATCCAGCAGCTGCCACAGCGCGGCAGGTCCTGCAGATCCGCTGCCAGGTGAAGGGGAAATGATCGGGGGTGGCATGGAGGGAGAGTCAGGAAAGATCGTCCCTCCTAAATTGATGGGATGTGTGACACTCAGAGGGATGTGTGACAGCCAGAGGGATGTGTGACACCCCAAAGGACGTGTGTGACACCCCAAGGGATGAGTGTGACACCCAGAAGGATGTGTGACACCCCAAGTGATGAGTGTGACACCCAAAATGATGAGTGTGACACCCCAAGGGACGTGTGTGACACTCAGAGGGATGTGTGTGACACCCAACATGATGTGTGTGACACCCCAAGGGATGTGTGTGAGCCCCAAAGGTAGAATTTGGCGTGGCAGAAGTTCAGAACAGACCTTGGAGAGTTTATGAACAACAAAAAAATGACCAAAATCTGGGGAGGCTCCCCAGGGACGAGCGCCACGGGAACCACGAGCATCCCCAGCTCTGTGTGTCCTGTCTGACTCCTCTGCACCCTGCCACAGCATCCTGCTGGCCCCAGCTCCTTTGCAAGATGAATCAGAGCTTTGTTTTCAATCTCCAGAGCAGTGAAATCACAGCTACTTGGATAGAGGAGAGGAGAGGGGGAAATGTCAAATAAAAATATCTGAGCGTGTGTCACAAAGGGCAGGACCAGAACAATTGCTGGCTGACATTTCTGCTGCACAGAAAATTCAATTTCTTCGTTATTTTTTTTTTTTTTTTTTTTACTTTGCCGTGGCAAGTCCGAGGTAAAACAGCTTTCCAAGGAAACCTAGAAACTGCCAGTGCTGCTGAGAGTTTTACAATCTTTGCATGTTGCACTTGTCTGGTGCCATATGTGTGGAAATCTGTCTCAGCAGCAATCTGCATATCTAATCTGAAGGGGCTTTTTGTTTTAGGTCTCACTTATATTTAGCATAACCTGAGAGGAATGGCTGTTTGCAGCTCTGCCCAGCCAATGTGACTGAGAAAAGATGGAAAGCAGGGAGCATTTTTTTTTTTTACAGTAGTTATTTGTGGCATAAAAATAAAGGATGTATTTTCTAGGGACACGCTTGGAGTCAGTGCTTTTGGCTGGGTTAGTTTAAAAAAAAAAAAAAAACTAATGGAATTGTGGTTAGGAATGGTGAGAGCCCTTAATAGACACAGGATGACGTTTGCCAGGATGGTTTTTGGACCTGTAGTCGCTGGCCTTGTGCCCAGAGAAATAAATTATAATGCTGACAACAGTCTCAGGAGAGGGAGAATCTCCTTCTGCAACATCCCTGGGAATATCCCTGGCGTGGATAACAACTCCTCCAGGGAAAAACCTTCCTGAAGGAGCCACTTCCATGAGCCATAACATCCCCCAGCTGGGGGATCATGGCACGGTCTGTTACAAAAACTCCTTTTTAATTAAGAATTTATTCATAAGAAGTATTAGTTTTTCAGGCACTCCGTGGTCTGTCGTGGCTCAGCTGATGAGAAATGGAGAAATCAGCTTCACTGTGTGTGCAGGGATTGGGGATGTTGGGATTGGGAATGCAGGGCTGGTAAATGCATGGATGCTTCAGGAAGCAGCACAGTGCTGTAGCTCAGGGCACAGCCTGGAATCCTCATTATTGATCCCTGCAGGGTCCAGGGAAAGGAGCTGGGAGGGGATTGGAAATCAATTCCTTGAGCTCTCAGAGCTGCCACTAAAAACTCACCATTTTTAGTTTGTTTTTGTTGGTTTTTTTTACCTGGCAATACAATTTTCAGCTCTTATCCCTCTAAAGGTATCTCCCCCCATTTATTGCTGGAATGTCACTATGGACAGGCACCAGATTTTCCAGAATATTGCTGGGAAGATCAGCTCCTCACAGAGTCTGAAACCAACTGCAGCACCACCCTGTGAGGAGCAACCAGCTTTCATCAATTCCGTTCCTCTGCACCACGGAAAAACATAAAAAAAACATGGAAAAACAATTTTTTTTTTTGGAAAAACAGACCACACACACGTCCTCCCCCCAGCCCTGAGAGCTGCTGCTGGCTCTGGCTGTCCCAGTTTAATGACACAGCATTCCCTGACAGAAAATCCTCATGAACTGATGGCATCTTGCACTGGCGATTTTTACTCCCCTCCCTCTTCATTTCAGGTGGGGCTGTGCAGGGAGAGAAACTCCTCATCAAACACACACCTGGGGCAGAGCAGGGTGAACTCTTCATTTGCATTAAATTTAAATTTACACATTGATGTCTCTGGATACACTTCCCCACACACAAATTCACAATTCACCAATTGCTGTCGATGGGGCTGAGCTCGTGGCCCTGTAAATAAACCTGCAGGAAATGTTGATTTTTTTTTTTTTTTTTTTCCTGGCAACACAGGGCCATGGGTTCCAGGGCTCACAGGCCGTGTTTGCTCCAAGTCCCACTTCCTAAAATGCCTCCTTGGAGCCCGGGGACAGCAGGATCCTGCAAGGACAGTGACCCCCAGCTCACCCCCAGCAGCAGGAGGGGGCAAAACTCAGCCAAGCTCTGCTGCACAAACAAAGCAGGGGGAAATTTGGCTTCATAAAGTACCTGCAATATGCATGAAACCGATGCTGAACGCTAAATCGAGAGGAATATTTCACTTTGAAGCAGAGGGTGGCCACACAGAGCTCCTGGCAGGGGTCTCTGCTGCTCACAGAATTTCACCAAACCCCCCTGACACATGGGATGGGAATGGGAAAGGAACTGGAATTGTGACCAGAGGGCAGCAGCTGTCCTGGAAAACCCCATGGCACTGAGAACCGGCACTGGAAGGAGCCCAGGAGCAAATCTGGGCAAGGCTGTGCCAACCCTCCCCTGCTCAGCTCAGAATAAACCCCTGGGCACAACGAGCTGGGGACAAAAAGGAGCAGCACTCCAATTCCACTGGCACCAGGAACACATTCCCGAGGAGGTGACACAGGCAGCTGCAGGAGAGGCTTTGTGACAAGGAAAAAGGTAAAAGCCAGGAGCAAAATGGAAATTTTCCTCGGTTTTGGGTTTGCTTCTTTATCAGAAGAGGAGAAAAGCAAAGCTCAGATGTCACAGTGCGTGCCCAGGTTTGATTCCAGCACAGCGAGGCTGAGATTGGGGTGACTTCTTCTACTGCTCAAATTATTTTATTTTAAATGCAAAGAAGCATGAAGTGGGTGGCTGCAAATTTGCCAACTTTATCTTCATTTATACACAGAGTCACTGGGTTCCATTGGTAATTCAATTAACTGCACTCTGAGGTTCATTTCAAGAATGTTATTGCTGTACTTACACACGATGGTGCATTTCTCTTTTGGCTTGTTTATTTAGAGAAAGCCATCAGGTTTTTTTCCCCCCTGGTTTATTTTTATTTACTCTCCTGGTACATGCTTAGAGGTGTAGCCAAACAGAATTTTATGATGCATTCCAATTAGCACACAGTTGCTCCATTTTAAAGCATTTCAAAGATTTTTTTTTTTTTTTTTCCTTCCGTTGGACTTCAATTCACGAAACTGCTCAAACGCTCGCTGTTATCCCAAATTTTTGGACGGCAGAGGTGGAGCCTGGAGCTGCCAAGCTGCTCTTTCTTGGAGCTCTCCCCACCTGAGCACCTTCAGGAATTGTGAGCCCCAGCTTTGGGGAAAGGAGGGGAAAGAGAAGTCGTTAAAAACGTGCAGCCGAATGGAAAAGATCATTTCTGTGCCTGGTTTGGGCTCCTGGTGCTTTGCTCTGAGAGGGGCTCAGGAGACACCTGAGCACAGCCAGGGATTCCTAAAAATCCTCAGGGAAATGCACAACCTTCTACAGGGAATGGATTTGGAAATATTTCTCTGGAAAACAAATTGCCTTGATTTTGGCATCCACCACGAGGCTCCGTCCTGAGCGAATTCTCTGTTTTATTGGATAATTATAACGAGCTATAAAAGAACCCTCAGAGCTCTTGAAACCCACTTGAGGTACAAAAAAAAAACCCCATTCCCACAACATTTTTGTGTTGCCCTTTTGAAATCTTCTCTTTGCTGCTAAACGATGAGAACAAACCAATGGCCCAAATATCCCCATTTCTGCATTTGTGCAGAAAGCCAGGAAATATTCTCAACTATTATTTCCAGATCATTTAGTTTCACATGCAGGACCCCAGGCATGGGAAATATGTTCATGCAGAAAGTAATTCATTCCTTTGGCAAATGTTTCTTTTCAGGCTCGTTTTCCCTCAAAACAAAGCCTCTGTTCTTTAATGAACTCAGTTTTCACTTTTGCCTCCTGCTGCAGGAAAAACGCATTCAGATGAAACTTATAATTAACTTTTAAAATAAATAAATAGCTTTTCCTGCGGTTCAGTGAAACTCTACACATGGTATGCTTGTATCAAGGGACAGTCACTCTGCAGGCAAAGTTATTTCAGTAAATTTCAGTGCAGAATTT